AGTTCATTTTATATTATTCGACATATCTACTTGCTTTACCGCAATTTTGGTTTAATCGAGGATGGCATTTTCAAACGGGACACCCTGTATTTTATTCCATAATCGGTTAAGGATAATCATAACGAATTCAACGATACTGTGTTTGATAGGATTTCTACAAACGATTAGGAAGATATTCACATTTCCATATCCTCAATGAGCATATGAAAACTTCGAATGCAAATATCTTCGTAATCGTTTGAAATAACCCTATCCAATCCGGTACCGTTGAATTCGTTATAATAGTTCCTAATTCATTAGATAGATAGATAGATTCTTTATTGTTCTTCAAACTTAACAGTTTTTAACAAGGGTTCAGGTACATGATTTGAAGTAATATCAAAAAATAAACAAAGATAGATATGAATACATTGATATTCAAGTGTGTAGCAAACTGAGGATTAGCAAGAATAAAAACAAAAATACATTGTTATACAGAGAGATAATCTATAGGAATGATTGGCATTATGATTGCGATAATAATGTTCGGCAGAGATTTACTCATTTAAGATGAAAGATCTCAATTTCATGATGTTGTACATATGGTTATAGATAGTTTTTCCTATTGTTGACGTTATATTATTGAGAACGTTAACAAAGTTTTCCATGTTGGAGAGGTATTCGACGTTCGGAGGTTTCATAGAGGTATAGATCGGACATTCAAAGAGGATATGTCCAATCGTCTCATATCTTTGTTGATTACAAATGGTGCAGAACTCTCTCGGATTGATATGGTATGTGTTACCATGAAAAGTCAGTTTCAACATGTATTTATTTGATAGTCTGATTTGTGCTATGGTTCTGGTTATCTGTATTTGTATTCTCAAATTGAGGTACTGTCGTGAGTTGTCTGTCAGTTCCGAGTAGAAATTTAAAAAGGAGGATCGCATTGCCAAAGATCTGTCTTCATGTCTTAGCTTCTCTTCGAAAGTATTGAGAAGTTGTTTTTTGATTTTTCTGAGGTCTATTGTTTCAATATTCGATATATTCATGGGTGAATCAGCATATTCGAAAAAAGTTTTTATTTGCATAGTCCAGTTGTATTTGGATTCGCAGGTTGTGATTTCTAGTTGCCTAAGAAAACAGATCTTTGGAAGACGATGATCTCCCATTTGTTGGAGTTTGGTGAGCCAATTTATAATGTGCTTGAAAACTGTGAGTGAGATTTTCACACGACCAGCTTCCAGCCTGACGATTGCGTCTGGAGTGTTGATGGGGAGAAGGAGTATTCGTTTCAAAAAATTGATTTGGACGCTCTCTATGAGGTCGATGTACCTTGTTCCCCATACTGGTATACAGTTAGTTACGAGGCTGAGAACTAGTGAGTCAAGCAGTTGCATGCGCGATTCCCAAGAATCCATTTTAGTTCACCTCATCAGAGCTGTTACTGAGCTAGTCGCATGTTTCGCTTTTTCAACTGTCAGTCGGGACATTTTATTGAAAAGGGAAGAGGAAGTGAAAGTGACGCCAAGATAGACGAATTCTGTGACGATATCAATCTCTTTTTCTTTATACAGGAATCTGGCTTTCTTCGATCTCGGGTTTCCTCTCGAGAACAGTAATATTTTAGTCTTACTAGTATTCACTTCAAGGAGATGGCGATCACTATACCCTTCTAGAATCCTGAGGTTTCTACTCAATTGAGCCTCTGATTCAGTGAGAATGACCAAGTCGTCTGCATAAAGCAGCATTATTAGTTCCCGTTTGTTATTCAAGTTTATTCCTTTAGCTCCTCTCGATGAAAAGAATTCCTCAATATCTGCAATAAATAGTGAGAACAGTAAGGGGCTCAAGGGGTCACCTTGTAGTACGCCAGCAGTGATATCACAAGGGGTTGTATATCCTTCGGAACCGAGGACTTTCATTGATGCGGTGCTATAGATGCTTCTCATGATTGAGAGCATTTTGGTGCTAACTCCCAGGCTGAAGAGTTTTTGCCATAGGAGAGAGTGATTGATTGAGTCGAACGCTCTCTTATAATCCACGAAAACGGTGACCACTTTTCGTTTTCGTAGTCGTAATTGCATTTGGATCGCGCTGGTGAGAACGAATATGTTTTGTTTTGTTTGTTGTTTTTCGAAAACCTGACTGAATTTCAGGGAGTATGCTATTATATTCTGCCCAGTTCGTTAACCTGTTCGATAGTATTTGAGTGAATATTTTTCCTATACAATTAATCAGAGCTATGCCCCTATAGTTAGCGGGATCGTCAGTGGGGCCTTTCTTGTGGACCATTTTAAGTGTGATTTCACTGCAATTTTCCGGGATGATAGCTGTGTCTAGTATGTTATTGAAAAGGCATGTCAGATAAAGTACCCAGTTATTCGACAGATTTTTGTAGAATTCGTAAGGGATGCCGTCGTTGCCTGGGGCTTTGTTATTCTTACAGCTATTTAATACTGCGTACACTTCCTCCTGTGTGATTGGGTTGTCTAGAAATTCATGTCTGGCGTCAAAAAACAGAATGTTATCGATCGTCCTGGGGTTGTAAATGTGTGTGTAGAAGGTTTGCCATGTATCAGTTGGAAGGTTTACTCTCAGGCTCTGGCTGCGAAATGTTTTTAAGGTCGACCAAAATGTTTTGGCGTCCCGACTGTTTGCTAAATCATTCAAGATATCATTATAGTATGCTTTTTTTTTAGTGTTATGATTTTTTTATAGTTTCGTTTTGATTCAAGAAATATGTTTTTTTGTTCATCACGGAAGTTATTTTTTTTGCATAATTTGAGATTATGTTTGACTTGTTGTTTTGCAGTATGGCATTCTTCATCAAACCAGGGGGTTGATGGACGTGTTGGTGAGTGTGTTGGTGAGTATGGGCGTATTTCTTTGCAGAGATTTAGTTGAGTGGCTATTTCCATTATAGCTGAGTTTAGGTTTTCGCAAGAAGTTTCAATGTCCGGTGTATATTGCACTTTTTCATAGCAAGTTTATATGACATTGTTTTTTCGTTGTCCCATTTGACTATTTGTTTTGAAGACTTGGAAGATTTATCAGGGTGTGCTCTGTTTTCTGGAACTGTATGCCGACTTTTTGATTTAAAGGAAATTAGAACTCCAAAGTGATCAGAAATACAGAATTCATTTAGGATAGCGAGGTCATGTATGTAAGGCAGGCCACTATCGTTTATCCACGATAGGTCGATGACACTGTTTCCGAGTCTACTAATGTGAGTGAATTGAGCTGGGTAGTCCGAGAGAGTCCTTCCATTCAGCAAGCAAAATGAGGTTTCGTTCATGAACTCAATTATACAGGGTGTTTCGAAATTCGACCGACAACGCTTGACAGGTGATAGCCCTCGTGATTTCATAATCACTGAGATAGGGACAGACGGTCTTGAAGTTTTCAGTTCTCGAGATACAGGGCGTTGAAGTTAAGAAATTTAAATAGTTTTTTCGCAATATCTCAAGAATAATTTAATATAATGCATTCAAATTCGGTATATGGTTTCATCTTTCACTGATTAATTTCTTGACCAGAAAGACATTCCGAGAATTTTATCCAGAGATGCGCTACAGAGGGTTGTGATAACTTTTCCTCCCATATTTTCTACGCCACTGATGAAATTTCAATTATTTCCAATTTCTCGAATTGTTTGTTCAGTTATGTTGAAAAAATGCATCACCTTCAACTGAGCTAAAATGAACAGTTATCGGGATATTTGACCCAAAATAGAAGTATGCATAGTAATTTTTCATCTTCCTCGGTAGTAAAAAATTACGAAAATTTTTGTTTTCTCTTCATGTGTGGAATAACTATTTCTGTTCAGCTATGGAATGAGATCTGAATAGTATCTAATCTACTCAACACCAGAAAAATATTTTTGCAATTTTCTACTACTGAAAATGATGAAATATTACTATGCAATCTTCTATTTTGGGTCGAATATCTCGAAAACTGTTTATTTCAGCTCAGTTGAAGGTGATGCATTTTCTGAACAAAATTGAACAATGAATTCGAGGAATTGGAAATAATCGAAATTCAATCAGTGGCGTAGAAAATATGGAAGGAAAAAATGCCACAACCCCCTGTAGGGCACCACTGGACAAAATGTCCGGAATGGCTTCCAGGTCAAAAAATGGCCCATTCAAAGATGAAACCATATACCGAAGTTGAATGCATTATATTCAATTATTCTTGAGATATTGCGAAACAACTATTTTCATTTCTCAACTTCAACGCCCTGTATCTCGAGAACTGAACACTTGAAGACCGAATGTTCCTATCTCAATGATTATGAAATCACGAGGGCTATCACCTGTCAAACGTTGTCGGTCGAATTTCGAAACACCCTGTATAACGTCCTCTTGTGTTTAGTGTTGTGTCACTAGATTGCCTGAACTCAAGAATACTGGAGTTTTCGAGGATCTCCGGTGGAATAGTTCCCAGTTCTGCAACCCTGCAATTGAAATCACCCCCTATTATGATGGGGATGTCGAAGAAATTTTCGGATGTTTCCAACAAGGATGCTCGAAAAATTTCCAGTATGTATGGGAGATCTAGGGATGGTTTAAAATAGACGTTGCACACTATAATTTTGAAATTGTGAGGAAAAGTCAACTCGCATATTATCCACCATGGGGTAGAGTCTAATGTTTTAGCGACAATATCATTTTTGGTGAATATGCAAAGACCGCCACTGGCTCTGCCAGTGGACTTTTCCTTGATAGCTACAGATTCTATAATATTGAAGTTAGATAAATAAGCAGGAGAATTGTTCATTTTATATTGTAACCAAGATTCGCTAATACATAGTACAGAAAAATTATTATATAATAGTTCCTAATTCATTATGGAATAATATACATGGTGTTCTATATTGTTAAGGATATTTAGTAAATATCCCTGAAAAATATCTCATGGATATTTGTGAACAATATCTTATGGATATCCCTGAAAAATGTCTTATGGATATTTGTGAACAGTATCTTATGGATATCCCTGAAAAATGTCATGGATATCCCTGAAGGATATCCTATAGAAGTCCAACTCCTTCCACTCGGCACGTCCATTGGACGTCCATAAGATATACATCGGATATCACTGGATATTCTCTGGATATCCCAAATATCCTAAATGGACGTCCAATGGATGTCCATCGAATGTCCGTGTGTTGACTGGGTGGTGCTTCTCCTGATGCGATGGTCTCCTGTGACTGCTGTGGTAGCGGTTGTGTTGAAGTGAAGTGCCCATACTTATTGAAAGACATGGAAATAGGTCAATATCTTGACATTAAAACTTCGCCTTTGACATGTGATGGTATTGTAACTTCTTTAGATAGGGGACATGCATATTATTACCAAACTCAATTACAGATTAAAGTCACAGATACGAAATACTGTGACTTTGTTATTTGGTCACCTAGAGGATTCTTCCATGAGAGAATTTTCAGGGATGAAGATTTTTGGGCAATAAATTTTCCCAAAGCATATGAATTCTACAAAAAGGTTATACTTCCTGAGCTCCTTGGAAAATATTTCACCAAAGGAAGACACCTGGACCAAATATGGTGTTTTTGTAAAAAATCTGAAGGTGGTCGCATCATGATCCAGTGTGAAAATGATAGCTGTGATATTCAGTGGTTTCACTTAGAATGTGTAGGACTACCTGATATTCCAAACACTTTATGGATGTGTCAACAATGCAGTTTGTAAATATTTATTTTTCTTATATTGTACTTCTACTTAGATTTGCATGTTTTACATCATCATCATCACCAATGCTTCATTATCAGAAAAAACAAAGCCCAATCTTTCAATTTCTATATGTGTTTTTTTCACTCACTTATTCTGATGTCTATCTATATATTTTAATTATTACTATTTCTTGATGATACTGAGAAGAAATTGAAATATGTAGAAAATATAAAAACTGAATGAGTATTGTGTTTTATTATTTATCATTGAATGATGGATGCCTATTTCAATATGCACAGGTAGTTTATAAGCATCTAAATTTTGTTGGAAATGATTTTGATCTAAGTATGGTATACCTATGGGTAATGCTTATCAGTTTTTTGCATTGAAAACGAAGTTTATATCCTTCAGACTACCACTACTACTATGTGGTGATATACAGGGTGTCCCCAACCAGAAGTAATAATATAGTATACATGAATGTACTACTTGAAAAACATCAGCTTTCAATTTTGGAAAAGAGTTTTTATTGGATCTAAAATTCATAATAAAATACCATCAAAATTTAAACGTCTGAATATAATCTTTCAAAAAAAGTTGGATTATAGGAAACCCAAAAAAGTCAATGATCTTTTTTATTCAACTCTTTTTTCATTCTTGTTATTGTGTAAATTTGTATTCAGTTTAAGTACTCATATTGCAAAAAACATTTTTATGCATAAAATAATTCATCTCTTTCACACAGGTCACTAACAATATATTAAATTACAAAATATGTAGATCTCACTTTATTCAATAAATATATAGAATGAGTTTGATATCTTTCACCTTTATTTTAAAGAAATCGCTTCCATAGTTAGTGAGGGTGTCTACTTTTGGTTGGAACACCCTGTAAACTCCCTTGTGGAAAAAAATTATTAAAAAATAAAACATTTTATTAATATGAGAAAAAATATAATGAATACTACAAATATTTTACAAATGACATATATGTGGGTAAAGATTCATAAATCTATCTAGCTTTGAGGAGTTTTAGATAATCTTGTATCAAAAAACCTCTATCTGCCAATATCACATCACCTAAAATATAAAATATGAAATTTATCAATCAAACTCAGTATACCTGCAATAATATTATCTAGGAATTTGGAATTTATAACAATATGCTTGTCAGAAGCTCTACCACCCCATGCTTCACTAATGAAGCTCACTGTTCCTTGTGGTGTTATTCCAATCAGATATTTAATTGTATGATGATGTTTGTAATTTGACCAGCACTGAGCACTTTTGAGTAAATCTGATGGTTTTTCAATAAATACTTCGAAGCAATCTATAATAACTGATATTTTCCTACCAAAACTATCTGTGAAACATGTGGGCATTGTTTTCTGCAAGATTTCTCTACTTGGCCATACAATCATTTTTTTCAATCTATCATACATTATCCCAATGATTGCTTTGAAGTAAGTAGATGCTGTTGTGGGACTGATGCCAAAGCGGTATGATAAGTCTTTGAAATCCAAATTCATTCTCAACTTAATCATAGTGAGCAGCACCTGGTCATGTACAGGTGAACTTGTATTAAAATGAACAGGAACATGGTCTTTCAAGTATTTGACAAGTATTTCCAGTTTTTTATATGAATTCAATCCAGTATAATACTTTGTTTTCATGTCATTGTCCTTCAAAAAATTAAAACACCACTCTACTCTTTCAATCTTCGCATCCATTTTTTTGTGGATTCAAGTGATATCAATATTTGGGAAAAATCTTCTGCTGTTATATTGGTCTGACACTCTTTTTCATTGTGATTCCTACTTGTTTCATCTTCCAAAAGTGCAACATCTTCCCCTTCATCAAGACCCACATCATGAGCACCCAGAAAAATCATAAAATACATACTCAAAGTAGAAATGGAAATAACTTCATTCAATCTCAGATATTTATTGTGTTCATTCTTAGAAGAATACTCCCTATGAATATCTATCTATGAATAGAAGAAATAACAGGAGAATACAAATAAACTTTCATCAGCATAGATATAAACGAAAGACACTGTTCAATATATTATTCATACCTCAGATATATCATCAAGGTGACATTTCCTTCTCTTGCTTGCTCTTTCTCCCCTTGCAGTTGCCATTTGGGCTTTTTTTGTGAACAACTTCATCATTGCCATAACCCATTGATAAAGTTGGAACCCAGTCAGACAATTATAGGAAAACAATTAAATCACCATGCATGAACTTCCTATACCAGACAGAAAATGTTTACCACACACTCTACTGTATTTCAGTTTTTCTTCTGTAAGATCTTTTCTTCTGATGGCATTTATCCATTGTTGTCGTCTCTTGGGTAGAAATTGTGTGTTATATTTCGATATGAGACTGGCATCATTCAGTTAGTTGAAGACCTGCTGCTTCAATAAGCATATAATATCAATTAATCTGCTAGTACGGAGATACATCTGAGTTATCTTAACAATCTTCGTGATGATATGAAGGGTATTTTTTTATTTATTTATTTTTCATCTCTTGGTGTGCACGAAACGGAATTCCTATGATGTTCGTCACGTGCGTACCTAAGGTGGATATGGAGGGAAGGTAGGTGTTGTTTGAAAAATTTCAAGGTTAACGACGAAAGGATGTGCTGACTGGGTCTGTCGAGGTCGTCTGATTGGTATCGCTAGTGATGGAATTATAGCAGAGATTCCTGAGGAACATTTCCCGTGGAATTATCTATCATTTTTCAACGATCCATTCAACTCGGGTTATTTATATCATATATCTATCAAACGTCAACTGCCATACGTCTGTTGTACCTCGCTTTCGGCGAGGTTTAAAGCACCGGGAGTACCATAAATGGCATACGGTTTTTGTTACATATCTGCATAGAGGTATGTTCAATCTGATGTGCATGTAGCGTGTTCGGATGATTTTTAACATTTTTCAACGTTTTCGTGGCGTTTTTGTAACGTTTTTTCGATTCAGGTTTTTTTCTTCTATTCATCCTGCATATGTCTTTTCGATCTTTCATTTGACTCTGGCTACTTGTATCACCCTGTATATCATTATTTTATTTTTTTTATTAGCATCTGTCATCTGCCTTACGCCATCTGCCTTACGACTGTTATACCTCATCGTTTGCTATCGGCTAGGTTAGAAGCATCGGAAGTATCAGCAAAAGAAGATGGTCTCTGATTGGTCGGCTGAGTCACGTTTTTTAACCCGGAAGGTGGAGGAGTTGGGATGGTCTATAGATTTTGTGAGCAATCCGTTCCGTATATATTTTTATAACGAAAAAGCGTTTGCATTCGGTAAGGTTCAGAGCACCGAAAGTATCACAAAAGGTATACGTCATCTATCAAATGCCATCTATCAAACGTTATCTGTCATATGTCAAACGTCATCTATCATTCGACGATGATAAGAGCACCTTAAGTATATTGGGACAGTATACAATATCATGAGAGCCAAACATGGCCGTTTGATTTCAGTGAGGTTAGAATCACCAAGATATGAGCTATTGAGCAAATTCGACAGGATGTAAGCATGAACTGCACTTTCAGACATACCCTGTATACCTATGAAGTTTTTCCATTCTTGAATGGCTCGTGACGTCATCAGCCACCTGCTAACAAAATGAGGTTTCAATATTGATATCTCTCAGCGAGAAAAAAGGATGCATTGTTGGATGACTCATCGGTCACCTGCGTCAGAACAATGGACCCATTGTTCTCTCGGAATTCCAGGAGAAGGGTAGTGACTGGGCCTTGAGAGAACAAAGGCGGCATTGTTCTAGAGGAAGTATAGATAACCTAAATCTGGTGAGCAAAGTCACTGGATTGTGACGTCATTCACCACCTTTCAAATGGAAAAAGAAGAATGTCCTAGAACACGCCCATAAGCTTTTGAGTCTAGGGTCCAGAGTCTAGAGTATTGAGTCCCACGTGTCATCCGCCACTTCTTGTGTTCCATGCCATCTGTCACGTGTCATCTGTCACGTGTCACTTCCGGCGGCCATCTTGGCCTGAGGCAAACGTGGGTTCACTACTGAAATTATAACCTATATCGCCAGGTGGCGTCTGATTTGTGTACCCTGAAATTCCCCCATAAACCAACATCACCATCCGATGGCCGTTTGAAAAGAACACATCCAAATACCTCATAATCATCATCGATCGAGCAGAATGTATTTGAAAAAATTGTTCGGCCGGTACCTTCATCTTCTAGAACAAATCGATATCAAGAAAGTGAAGAGTCCTGCCCCGAACAGTTTGACTCAGACGACTCGATCGCTGACCCCAATTTCACATCATCCTCAAGCACCGCGGACTCTGATTCAACATTCAGCCATCAGGACAGTGACTTTACTCACAAATCAAAGGGGCCTAAGTGACAAAATCGCGAATTTCAGTTTATGGTGCCACAGATATGGTCGGAGGGTCTACTTTCTTGTCTCAAACGGGCGTAAGTGAATTCCTCACCGTTGTAGAGATATAAAGAATTGTTTAGGCGTAAGTAAGTTAACTTACGCCTCTTTGTGTTATAATTGTTTAGCCAGTGTCTTCCTATAAAACTAAACTCAAACAGGCGTAAGTGCATGATTTAATGGTTACTTTTATTTTCAGGTTGTGAAAAGGTGCTTTGAATGCTGAAAAAGAAAGAAAAACCTTTGAAGATGGATGCATTGGTGCAATGGAAAGACGGTGTGAAAAATGTTGTATATATTAATGAGTTAAAACCTGTGGACAATAACACCAAGGTAAAAAAAGGAACAAAAGTGAAAATGCTTCACAAGAACAAGTGGTACTTCGGTACTGTAATTGATTTAGAAGCAGATAGCAGTTCCTCTGACGATGATGCTTTAGAGGACAATATACCTCTCGCAACTATGACGAAAACTTGGAAAAACGGTGTGATAAAAGGGTTAAGTGAACAGCAGCAAGAAAAGAATGGTGAAAATAAAGTTGATTTTGATGAGACGATTTACTCTGAAGACACTGACGACACATTGTTGATCCGGATTTCTTAGGAATCTGCGAGACTAAAGAGTGTAAAAAAGACGAAATTAAAACCTGTAAATGCGGTGTGCTTGTGTACAAAGATCACTTTCAAGAAAATCAATGCAACCATGAAAGTGATTACAGCGATGATCTAGATTACGACATAAAACATCTTAAAAAAAAGAGGAAAGTTTTGAAGAAAAGTAACGAGGAAAAAAATTAGAGTGAGGCAAAAAAGGAGAAAAATAAATCAAACAGTAAGAGAATAAATAAAAAGAAGAAGTCAAAACAGATTCAAAATCAAACAAACGAAGCTCAAGTGTACTCAGCCCAGAATCGTTATGTGAATGATGATGATGAAGCAGATAGACACCTAAACCTAAAATGTGAGTCTAAGAACTGTGACATTGAAGTTTTTGCAGCATGTACTAAATGCTTATCTCTTTTGTGTGGGGACCACTTCATGAACGATGATGAGTGCTGTAATCACAACGATATTGGTATTATTGCAGCTGAAAACGAAGGACCGGAAAACTTTTCAATGGAGGGATCTTTACGAGAAGAACCAAGACAGAAGAAAATTCGTGAAAACAAACAAAAATTAAGAAAAGAATTAAGAAGCAAAGGTCAAGGTTACACACAGCATACATCTTGCAATTTAGTTGCTCCACGAGAAATCAAACAAAGATGTAAGGAAGAAGCTTGTACACGAAGCAACAAAAAGTGTAATGAGTTTACTGATGATAATAGGAAAGAAATTTGTACCGCATTTTATGGAATGGGGAATTTATCCTTACAAAGAGAGTATGTAACCAGACACACAAAAACAGAAACAAAAAAAAGAAAAGTAACACAGAATGAGAGCTCAAGAAGGTCCAATACAGTCTTCTACTGTTTACCTTTAAATGGTGTCTTGCAGCCTGTTTGTAAAGTGTTCTTTCTGAACACTTTATCAGTAAGTGAGAAGACTGTCAGAACGGCTCTAGCAAAATTACAACCGACTGGAGTTGTCGAGCCCGAAAAAAGAGGAGGCCGTCGACAGTCACAAATAGAGAAAGACACCCAACAGAACGAAAAAATAAAAGAACACATCAATAAGTTTGATAGAGTTGAGTCTCATTATGTAAGATCTGATACCACCAGGGAATATTTACATGAAGACCTTAACCTATCAAGAATGTACAGAATGTTTTGTTCAGATTACCAAGGTCAAAAAGTCCCAAGTGAAACTGCTTACAGGAATGTTTCGGAAAATGAATCTTAGTTTTCATCGCCAAAAAAGACAAATGTGGACTTTGTGAGATGTACCGACAAGGCAATATTGATGTAAAAAACAAACTTGAGGAAAAATACCAAAAACATATAAAAGAAAAACAAACAGTTAGAGCTGAAAAATAAGAATGCAAGAACAATTTTATCCAAAATGAAAACCATGTTTCTGCTGTTTTTGATCTACAACAGGTTAAGTACTTACCTCAAAGTAATGAAAGCGCCATATTTTACAAACGACGAGGGGCTGTTTTTAATTTCACTATCTACAACTTGGCAACTAAAGACTGTGAATGTTACACATGGTATGAGGGCATAAGTAAACGGGGTTCATCTGAAATATCTTCATGCGTTTTTAAATTTCTTACAGAATGTGCCAGCCATGGAGTTAAGAAAGTTAGCTTTTTTGTGACGGATGCTCCGGCCAAAACAAGAATACCATAATGGTTGCCATGTTCTTGTACACTGTGATGGAGACACAAATCGAAGAGATAACCTTATCTTTTTTTGTGCCAAACCATGGCCAGAATGAAGGAGCACTGCACACAGTGCAATTGGTTTTGCCATGGACCATGCTGGAGACTTGTTTGTTCCCTCTCAGCTTGTCCCAATCATGAAGCTTGCAAGGAGTGCCAACCCCTACAATGTCAACCAAATAGAAACTGGTGATTTTCTTGACTTCAAGCAGTTATCACTAGACCTGAGAATCTTGAAAGTTATAGAAGACACTGCACGCCAATCTATTGACTGAACCAAAGTAGTTGAAATAAAAGTTCTCAAGTCTAAACACGACGAAATTCTCTTTAAAAACTCCCACCTGGCGAACAACTACATAGTCCTTAAACTGAAAAGACTTGTAGCTGATCAGTGCCAACGTGGTGTTGGTCAGCTAAACTCAAATCCACCAAAGATATCAGCTGACAAGTTCAAAGATCTGATGTCACTCTGTGAGGGGGAAACGCCAATCATAAGAAACTTGAAGTATGTCAACTTTTACAAAAGCCTGCCCCAAGACCAAAGTTTATTGATAGTACAATGACAATGCCTTGAAATTATCATTAACAAGGCTGTGATTTTGACAAACCAAACTGTAAACCAAATCAGTAATAGGTACTTTTATAGTTTAGGTTTATGTAGTTAAGGTTTTACTTGTTCATTTACCTATTTTTACCTAATTTTACCTATTTCACCTAATTTTATTTTATTTAACGTTTAAAAACATTAGAACAAACGGTTTTTTTTTTGTTAGGACTCCATTAATATTTTTTTTAGAACCTTGCTTTATAATAACTAGGACAGTTATCAGTTATCAAACCTGTTTATATTACTTTATTATACCATTAAAAAAATAATTTGTTGCTATATTACAACACAAAGTATGAGATAATTCTGGTTTTGTTATTCATAACCCTAGGCGTAAGTGACTCCTAACTCATTCAGCCTGCAACACAAAGAGGCGTAAGTGACTTAATTACTACTAATTAATTTATATTTCACTTAATGTTGTGTTTTTGAATACCAATAACATTAAACTTTGATTCATTGGTAATAGTTAAAACACGTTTTGAAGTAAAAAGTATAAAAAGTGGATACCTAAATGAAGTGTTAAAAAAAGTGTTTTTTTTCTTTTTGCTCCCCTGAAAAGTTGTAAAAAATCACTTACGCCCCTTTGATTTATTGTGACCGGCGTACTGAGCCATTAGTTAAGCGTGGAAAAGTACTGAATGTGAATGAAAATGAGGAAAATGGTAGAAAACGGTTGAGAAAACCCGATACATGGAAAAAATGTGGCTAACTCTCTGAGAAATGAAGGAAAGGAGTACTTTATGGTTTCGAAAAAACGAAAGGTGCCGTCAAACGGGGTAATTCCGATCATGCGAGGAAAAGTCGATCAAGCACGCCCCTGAGAAGAATATGGCGCGAAAAATGGAACAGGTGCGTTTTTTATGCAGTCAACAGTTGACAACCGGTTCAGTTTGAGTGTAGCCGTGCTCAAGTGAAGTGTGTTCGCTGATACGTAAGGTAAGTTCGTGGAGAAAAATGTTTTTATGAAGAGTGGATAATTGGCTGAAATTGAAACGTGCGGAAACGATTGATTCCACAGCTCACAACTTGCGCGAAGGGAAATAATTGGAATATATATGGGAAAACATAGTCATTTGTGAATGTGACTGAACAAAAATATTACCATTACGGAAGATGCAATGACACACCTAATTTCGAGAATATACCAACTAATCGATAAAAACAAGCCCTCTCTATGCATCTTTGTCGACTTTGCAAAAGCTTTCGACACCGTTTGTCACAAAAAATTACTACACACCTTGGAAAAAATCGGATTCAGGGGAATAGCTTACGACCTAATGGCAAGCTACTTAGAGAACAGACAATATAGAGTTAGGATAGGAGAAGAAGTGAGCTCAACTAGAACTATGGCGTTTGGTGTCCCTCAAGGGACTGTTCTGGGGCCACTGCTTTTCAATATATACATAAATGATCTATACAATCTCGAAGTTTCTGGCGACATTGTCAGTTTTGCCGATGATACGGCGGTGGTCTATCAAGCGGATACTTGGTCGAAACTGAAAGAAATAACAGAGAATGATTTTCCAAAAATAGTTGGATGGTTCAACAACAGAACACTGACTATGAACTCCGACAAAACTTTTTTCATGCCTTTTGCATGTAATTCTTATATGCTACCTGACTTCGAAACAATTGAAATCGTGTCACTCCACTCTACTTCAAGAATACAATCAAAATCTAAAATGAAATATCTTGGAATATTCATTGACTCCAATTTGAAATGGAATTATCATGTTGATAATATTGTTAGGAAACTGAGGTCACTTGTGAGTACCTTCAAGTTTTTTAAGACCATATTCGACGTAAAGCACTTGGAAATTTTTATACAATGCATTAGTTCAGCCACATATTTCGTACGGTATTCTGGCATGGGGAGGCGTGACTAATACTCATATAAAAAAACTTGAAACTACCCAGAAGTGGATCCTGAAAATTATATATAATAAAACTTTTGATTACCCGAGCGAAGCATTATACGAAGAGAGCAATGTTTTTGATGCAAGGCAGTTATATTTTCAGAGCATCATTATCAAGCACTACAAAGAGAAGCACATGTTGCAAAAAATAGACCATAAATATGCTACCAGATATAAAGAAAAAATCACAATGATACCTAAAGTAACAAAAACATTAGCACAACGATGCTATACTTACCTCAGTCCGATTATGTATGCCGAAATCCCAATTGAGATGCATCGAATCCACTCAATCAGCTTATTAAAAAAAAAACTTAAACTATGGATTCGAAGTACCTCCAGAAGAAAAATACACCAACTCATAGACAGAAAAAATATTTACAATAATTAAGTAAACAAAAAATCTAAACATCGCAACTCTGTTCTTAAATGATATGTTAGCATTATGGCCATTCACACAATTCTCGAATGTTATCACTGTTTTTGTATTATCATTGTTATTATTTTTATTACTGTTATTTACTATTCACTACTTACTATTTACTATTTACTATTTACTATTTACTATTTACTATTTACTATTTACTATTTACTATTTACTATTTACTATTTACTATTTACTATTTACTATTTACTATTTACTATTTACTATTTACTATTTACTATTTACTATTTACTATTTACTATTTACTATTTACTATTTACTATTTACTATTTACTATTTACTATTTACTATTTACTATTTACTATTTACTATTTACTATTTACTATTTACTATTTACTATTTACTATTTACTATTTACTATTTACTATTCACTATTTACTATTTACTATTTACTATTCACTATTTACTATTTACTATTTACTATTTACTATTTACTATTTACTATTTACTATTTACTATTCACTAGTTAAACATAGCTCCACCCACGTACAGGGATTCATCCCTTTGTGGGATACCTCTTATTTACCATATTTGTTTTTCAATGTCCTATGACCTATTATGTGGTGAATAAATATTATTATTATTATAATAAAAATTTCTGAAGGCTGTTGTTGAGGGGTAATTTCGATCACTTTGAGTTTTACAAATATGTTGATACTTTTCAATTGTAATTAGGCTACGTTTATTCGTTCACTGATCTAAAGTACAGTGAACGACCTGTACAGTGTTGCCAAGCATATCGCGATATCCTGTATAGTACGACAATAATTTTATGTCTATATTTATACTGTTTATTTGTCTTCAGATGCCTCGGCATTACCAAAAGAAGTTAGGACACCGGGGAAAGAAGAACTATGATGAAAAATACCTTCAGAGGGCAGTGACGGCGGTGAAAGAGAAAAAGATGTCGATGAGGGCTGCCGCTGAGCGATTTGCCATCCCTTACTCGACCATCAATGATCATTATCACGGACGACATCCGCTAAAGTATGGAAGACCATCCGTTTTAGATGAAAATGAAGAGAAAATTTTAGCTGAAGGCCTGCAACTTTGCGCCAATTGGGGTTTTCCCTTGAAGCCGATCGACATAAAACATATTGTCAGGCAATATTTAACGAAGCGTGGGTTGACAGAACCAAGGTTTGTAGATAACTTACCTGGAACAGACTGGTTCAATGGTTTTATGAAGCGAAATAGCAATCTCACCATAAAACTGGCAGAAAACACAAAACGGGTTCGAGCAGCGTTAAGCTACGAGTTAGTGGCAGAGTATTTCAGAAATTTGAAAGATGTCGTGAAGGATATTCCGAGTTCCAACATCATCAATTATGATGAAACGAATTTTGTAGATGACCCGGGCGCTGTGAAAGTCGTCTTAAAAAAGGGCACCAAACATGCACATAGGGCCATAGATAGCACGAAAACTAGTACCACGGTGATGTTTGCGATAGCAGGAGACGGCACGATGCTTCCACCATACATTGTCTATAAGGCGAAACATTCTTATGTGGGATGGACTGAAGGGGGTATAGAAGGGGCCAGATACAA